TTCACATATATGTATAACTCATTATGTGTGGAACTACTTGTATGGTCCGTTATTAATCTTAAGAAGTTTTCGAATAATTTTTATCACCAAAGATTTTTGTAGGCTTCATTCTTTTATTTGTATCATATGGTTTTAGAAAAAAGAAATATATATATATATATATATCTTTCAAAATTATTATTATTTATAAAAATAAAAAAAGTATTTAATAGCGTCAATAAAACTGAATAAAAATATTTTATTATTGTCTCTGATAATATCGCGGAAGCAACATTATTACAAAACGCATATAGTTTTTTATTAAAAAAGAAGAAAGATTAAAATCAAGCTAACTCTTGTTCAATAATCAAATCCTTTTTCCGACATATATAAAATAAATAATACACACACACATAGAAAATAAAGCCGAATAATTCATAAAAAGAGAAATGTGCAAATTATATTATTGTGTAATGAATGAGAACAAAACAGTGCAGAACGAGCGAAGTCAAATACCTTTCAATCTGTTCCATCGTGTTAGAGTCTATTGTCAATGGTTAACCCGCTTATTACACCGATGTATTCATTTATCGTATCACGTCGTATATGTCGAAGAAGGATGTTAGATGTTACTGTAGATATATTTCTTCCGACATTATATTCTTTTGTAATCATAACTTGTCACACAATTCAGAGTGTTACGTTATCTTTTTACCTAAATGGACGAAAGTATAAAAAACCATGCTATAAAAATTAAAATGTGGCACATACATATACACGCGCACGCTTATCTGAATATAGTCGATCAATTATGCTAAAAACCTAAAAAGCATGATCGTAAGACACGCCTGACATCCGATCATTTTTCATTGGAACAGGAAAATGTTAGTAGATTTTCTCACTGTCAGGAAGAGGTTATTCTAAAAAGTTAACGCTGTGTATAATCATACAGTAAAATTTTCGAAAGTATGTCGAACGTGTCTCTTTGTGTTCTCTTCTCGTTATTAATTGTAGGCGTATTTCCTTTCGATATTAATCATAATGTTACATTGTCAGACGAACAGATTGTGTATAAAAATTTAGTCACCGCAACGGTAAGTTAATTTTCCGAGAATATATTTAAGATAAAAGCCAATAATATATTTTTATTTAATATAAAAACGATTCTACCCGCATCATACACACACATACACACACATGTTTATTATATATTACTAGAATATTACAAGCACGCGCTACGCACGCTCCATTTGTTGTATCACATTTTATTTTCTTATATATTATATGCAAATACATTAATATGATATATCCTTTTATACTTTATAATAGCCAATATATTTTAAATTCATAGTGATATAAAATAATAATAATATATTCATATTTTTAGTTTTTAATCTATACGTTTAATATATTGTTTTATATTTTTAATGTATACGTAATAAAATTATTTATATAAACTGGTAAAAGCAATACAAGTTTTGCGCTTGGGACTTGTCAGACCTCAAGTAGGTCTTTCACTTGGGGTCTGTCAGACCCCACGCGTAGACTTTTCACTTGGGGTTATAACATATTAAATTGTCAAGCTGTACAAACTATCAAAATGCGATCTCTGCAACAGCTACTCATAAAGTAAGCACAGCGAGAGAACAATCAACATCACGAAAAAGAGGCAACAATGTCAATAACATGCTTTTTTAAGAGAGGGATTATTATAACAAATTACATTTATAACAATATTATTTTAAACTTGTCAAAGCTATTTCTCTTTTACTTATAAGTATATAAAAAACATTACCTCAAAACATTCTATTATTCTAATCTTATATTAATTTCATAGCTATATATTATAGTAAGATGTCGACCAATAGAGTCCGAAATGACTTTAGTGCTGGGCGGAGACTATAATGAATTTATTATGCGAGCGTTTTTTAATATGGTACCCATAGCGCTGATAAATGAAACAAATCCTCGGTTTAATGCCCTTGAGAAATTTGCTCTGACAAAATATTCCTTCTTAATGCTTGAGAATTACAATTTTATCCATTTCCTTCGAAAGGCACATCGTTTTGTGCTGGTGTCATCTTCTCAACCCCTCCTGCGATCTCTGTTACAGGTAAATAATAATATAATAAAATATAATAAATATATTATATAACTTAACATATGTGAAAAAGAAACATGTATAATACCGGATGTTCCAGAACTGATGGTACAAGCAGAAAGGGGATGATTCTATATAAAAAAATAAGTCAAATATACAGAATAAAAATTCTTTATACGAGGCTTTGTTTTCCAGAAAAAGCTTTAAATATTCGTCAGATACGCGTGCATTTAATTATGTTTGCTCTCAACGATCTAAACTATACGCTACCGCTACACGCATTTGTGTTTAAAAACATTGCCAAGATTTCTTTTATATTAGTCCTGGTAGCTTACCTTCGTCGATAATGACTCGTTGGTCTCCTTCTTTATATCTTTATTTCCAATATTAAACTTGGAAATTAAATATTAATATATTTTGGCAATTTAATAAAAAATAAAAACTTGTTTATATATATACACAAGTTTTTATCATATATATTTTACGTGTCTATTTATAGCTATAAAAATTAATCTGTAAAAAAACTGTTCTTTTTATTTTTAATCATTTACAACTCGAAAAAGAAATCTTTTAAGTCTAATCGTATTTATGTAAAACTCTATTCTTCGATCCTTAGAGTTTTTAAAACGTCGTATACTTTATTATCGCGTTTACTATATATACAATAGATTAAATTAAAAGAATACGATAAATATCAATACTATAATTGATTCATTAAACAATATTACTCAATTTTTTTAGTAAAAAAAATAATAAAATAATAATTTTATCATATTATTTTTTTTCTCTACACAGAGAGCAAAGGACTCGCCATGGGCGAATCCGGAAGGATTTTATATCCTAATCGATAAGCAGACCGAGACTCGGGGCTGTATAAATGCTCGCTCATATCTCTGGACAGCTTGGGAATATGACTTGCTCTCAGTCATATTCATATGCATCGATCCGAACGATGGAATTGTTTATTACACGTATAATCCGTATTCGAACAGTACGCCAGACAACTGGTACGAAGTAGGACAGGCCAAAGGACGAAATGGTCATCCTTGGATAATATTAAAGAGAAAATTTATATTCGGTATCTCTCTCTCTCTCTCTCTCTCTCTCTCTCTCTCTCTCTCTCTTTCTTCTTTTTTTTCATCTAAGAAAACATATTAGCGGGCAAATTAATTTTCGGTTGTCTTAATATAAAATAAGATTTAATATGTGAGTTTATCTGTTTTATTATTTTTTATAAATATTTTATATAAATTACCAAAAGAGATACTTTCTTTTTTTAGATGTTATAATAATATATTATTAATAAAACATATTATACTAATTTTGCGTATAATCTTTAGAAAAATATATCAAAATTTGAACAACTTTTACTATATTTTTTTAGATAACGATACGTGCACAGATCTGGATTTTGATAAAACGTCCACTCTGGATGGTTACGTAATTCGATTAAACGCCGTTGAGATGGAACCGTTTATCAAAGTCAATTTGAGTTTACCGAAAGAAGACAAATTTCGCGGTGATAACAGTGAGATCATTAAAATACTCTTACAGAAACTGAAAGCACATCTCTTGATCACACTTTCTTTAGAAAATATCTATACGTTGGGCGGTATAGGACCGAACGGTACTTTTGAAGGTTTGATGGCTCCTCTGAGCGAGGGCAGAATAGACATTGCTATGAATACGAGAATTTTGTTTTCAATGTGGAAGGTCAGGTACGTCTCGATATTTTCCAAGAAAAAAAAAATAATTTCTATTAATTTTTTAAGAGGATTTCTCAAAGATTTAAAGATCTAACTAGATCTTATCAAATGTATACATTAAATGAATTTATATCGATGAGACAATCAAAAAAAAGAAATATGATATTATATAATATTCTTACAAAGAATATTTGCTGGATCTTATTTCTTATTGTATTGTTTATCATAAGTCCCTTCTTATACAGGATTATAAAAATGTATTATAAAATATAAATAATAAATAGCTAATTGAAGAGAGAGAGAGAGAGAGAACAAAATGAGAGAGAAAGAGAAATACATGCCTCTTCTATGTATTGCATAATATATGAAAACCTGATAGAAATTAAAAAGAATAATACTTTATTTATTTTCAGATACACATATCCCCATTCGAGATCAGGCGTTTGCGTGATGGCGCAACCAAAGAAACCAATCTCCGAGTTCATGAAAATAGTAACCTTTCTGTCGCCGGTGGTAATGGTGGGAGTCATCGCGATATGTCTATTAATTTACATAATTTTTACGCAAAGCTTAGGATACATAGAGGCTGGGCTAGAAGTGATAAGACTCATGATCTGCGTTGGAATTTTACATTTGCCCAAAATCAATTCCACTAGGATCTTCATATGCATGGTGTTGATTTTATTCCTGAACATAAATGCTCTCTTCCAAAGTCACTTGTCATCTTTGCTCACCGTGCCAGTCTATTATCGCGATATCGATACCCTAACAAGTCTCAAGGTAATAGTAAAATCTTATTTTATTGCTTCTTCTCCCTAAAGAGAGATTCATACCATCTCGCTGAATCAATAATAATTTTTTTTTATATAGTGTCTTGAGTCTCTTATCTAAGTAAATGCGGAATTATTTCATAAGAAGTTACGGAAAAAAGAAAAAATTGTTCATAAGTTGTTTTATTTAGAAGCTGAGATTCTATATATTATAATTAGTTTTTTGTAAATGAAAATGCAGAAGAGATTTTAAAATCAATTTTATTCTTTTAAGTGGCATATTTTTTATTCTTGACGTGATAGCAATTATTAAAACGAATTCAATAACTTAATTAAAGATCGTTTAAGATCATAAATTAATGAGATCCTTTTAAAAGCCAAAATATAGATATCACTAAATTACAATTATTATATCAAATTAAACATATTGGTAAATGTAAAAAGATATTTATTAATGTAATGAGGTTTAATTTACAACCCTCCATAATCCTAAATAACTTTTAATTAGTAGGCCATTGAATTTGTTTCACACACAATAATCGTTATCACATAAAAAAAATATAGCATTTCATTTAAACTTTTAAGTTAACTTCTCCCCTATATTTACATCAATAAAAAAATTAATCGCATTCTATAACATTGCCTTCCAAATAAAACAATTTTTATATAAACTGTAGTATTTCTCGTATCTTTAATTGCTTATAAAATAATATCTATTTACATCAAATTGCATATTGTTATTGCATATTATTAAGCAAATAAAATGTTTTTATAAACTTTACAAAATATACAATCCTTTTATCATTTAGAAAAAACTTTATATCCTCTTTATATTATGCATAAAATACAATATTTATTTTAAAATAAAGCAACTGCTATATTTGAATTCCAACCACACAAATTTATAATAAAATGTATAAGTATAAATTTAATAATACTTTAATATATAAATGACAAACATTAATTTAATTGTTGTGTTTTTTTCAGAAAGCCGGTTACACTTTCTACGGAGCGAAGATCTTCAAAGACATGATCGACGATCCTGTACTCAAATCGCGCTACAAGTTGGTCTCGTATAAGGATTGCAAGGAGCACGTCGAGAATTCATCGACCGCCGTGTGCGTCGGTGACTGCTACCACATGTATTACAGAATCAAAGGTCAAGATCTTATTAAATCAAGAATGCTGATGCCGATGATACAATCGTATGTCACCCGCGAGGATTGGCCACTGTACAATCGCGTGAATGATATTATACAGCAGATGATGCAGACTGGCTTGATTAAGAAACCTCGAGATGATATTCTCTTGGAGATAAAACGCAAGAGAGAGAAAAGAATCGCTTCAAAGGAGAAAAGCTTCAAAGTAATGCTACTAAAGCAGCTGGCATTTAGTTTTTACATTCTTGGATTTGGATACGCTTGCGCCATTATAATCTTTGTGCTGGAGAAGGCAATCGGTGGTTCTGTTCCCGTATATCAAAACTGGATCGGGAAGAGCGATCGAAGAGAAAAAATAAGAATACGAGAAAAAAGAAGAAGCTGGAACAAACAGTAAAATTCCGAAGATATCAATTTGCCATTAAAAAAAGTGATTTAGCTTAGAATTTACAAGATTGTAACATAAATAAACGAGAGACATACCCAAAAAACAAATATATGTAATATGTTGTAGATTTTAAAAATTCTCGTTACGTTTTCAAAATTACTCAGCTTCTTTTACGAACCACTCAATTATGGCGGTAGAGAAATTATTAATGATGCAGAAAAAATCACATTGTATCTGATAAAAATCACATTGCGTCCGATATTCAATATGCATATGTATATATATATATATATAATAAAATACCTGTGTGTATTATCATATAATAATAAAAATTATGGCGTGTGTGTATATGTGTGCGTGTATGAGTGTACCAAATGTAGTGTAACAGCGAAAGCGATTGCGTCCGATACCCGATATAAGTAGATATACGTAATAAAATGCCTATGTGTATTATTGTATAATAATAAAAATGATTGTGTGTGTGCGCAAAATGTAGTTAATAATGAAAGCGATCAATCCATTTTTACTCACGAATGCATATAAAGTCATATTAATTTTAGTATTTGAGAATAATTCCTAATTTAGTTGAATGCATATTACGTAACGGGAATGTCTTTATTTTACATATATTGTATTAGAGATACAGAATGTCTTTATTTTACATATACCTTTATTGATATTTGATAAAGGTTAATGTACTTTCTAAGACTTTCTAACGCCCTGTTTTTGTTTCTAAATAGTTTTATTTTATTGTTTGATGAAATACCGATGATAAAATGCAAAGTGAAAAAGAGTTATGTATAACGTAGTATATTTATAAGAGAATTGTGTGATAATACTCTGTAAAATATATATTTTGTAATTTTAAAAAATCTAATAAACTATATTATTAATATAAAACGCATATGTCTTCTGATTGAATATACCCATCCATTCCCACACATCAATTGTCGTGCACATACATTCCTTTCCTAATTATATATTTTCTTGATACATTTTTGCCGATTCTTCATTCTTGGAATTTGTGAAACTACATTTCTTGGAATAAAATATCAAGAGAACATAATTAGCAAAGAAATGGCACAAAATAAAATTTCAAAAAACGCGAAAATTTGCTTTGAAATGCGCAAAGGTATCAGGAGAACATGATCGGTAAAGAGGTAACGTATTAGGAGAACATAATCGGCAAAGGAGGTGGCACAAACTAAAATTTTAAGAAGCGCAAGATTTGAAGCTTCGAAATGCGCAAAGGTATCAGGAGAACATAATTAGAAAAAAGATGGCACAAACTAAAATTTCAAAAAGCGCGAAAATTTGAAGCTTCGAAATGCGCAAAGGTATCAGGAGAACATGATCAGCAAAGAAGTGGCGTATCAGGAGAACATAAGAGCAAGAAGATAGCACAAACTAAAATTTTAAAAGGTGCAAAAATTTGAAGCTTCGAGATTCGCAAAGGTATCAGGAGAACATGATCAGCAAAGAAGTGGCGTATCAGGAGAACATAACAGCAAGAAGATAGCACAAACTAAAATTTTAAAAAGTGCAAAAATTTGGAGCTTCAAAATTCGCAAAGGTATCAGGAGAACATGATCAGCAAAGAGGTGGCGTATCAGGAGAACATAACAGCAAAAAGATGGCACAAACTAAAATTTTAAAAAGCGCGAAATTTGAAGCTTCAAAATTTGAGTAAATATTAGGAGAACATAATCAGCAAAGAGGTGGCACAAGATAAAATTTCAAGAAGCGCGAATATTTAAAGCTTCGAAATCCACAAAAGTATCAAGAGAACATAATCAGCAAAGAGGTGACATAAGGTAAAATTTCAAATAACGCGAAAATTTGAAGCTTCAGAATCCACAAAAGCATCAGATTTTTTTTTTTTTTTTGCGTAGGAAGAGAAAAATGCATTATGCATTCCCACCGGCCGGTCCGGTGGGATATGCGGGACTCGCACCCGCTAAAAAAAACTCTCCCTTCAGGGCCAACCTTTGGCCTGCCGCCGATACTTACACAATTTAACGATTTAATCGATAACAACAACTTCTATATCAAATTTCTAGTCTTTTTGCTGACAAAATTGATAGCAGACACTTGGCATAATCTGCTTTCGACGATCTGCAGACTTGGTTATTTGGGAATACATATCTAATATAATATTTCATCATACATATCAACAGAAAACGAAAATCAAGAACGATATGTCAAAGTACTAATTTGTACATTGAATTTAATCTCGAATTTCTCACAAATTGGCAGGATGTTTATGTCGAAGTCACAGGATAAACTGGACCATCTAAATAAGAACACACACACAAAAGAATAGGAGATAAAGAGGGAAAAATAGATCAGCTAACTTGCTATTTGATTTTTATATTTCGCTTCTTGTGTCTTCATAGTGATACTTCTGTTGGAATTATATTGATTACACTGATGGTAGAATTATATTGATTACGTTGATACAAATTGCAGAAAATGGAAAAAGAAAAGAAAGAAGGAGGAAAGGAGATAAATGGACGGAGGGATGAGCGAAATATATCGATAATAGATAAATAAATATCCCCTTTATTTGGTCAATATTTTATTTATTCCTTCATTTTAGTTTATAAACAATTTGTTCATCCGGGAGAGTCCCCGTAAAATGAATATGATATAGTAAATATGTTCCTTTTTACAATTTATACCATATACACAATGATAATAATAATAATAATAATAATAATAATAATAATAATTAAGAATCCTAAACATAATAATATAATAATCAAAATAATTAATAATAATTAGAATAATAGTAATAATGCTAATCTATAAGGCGCAAACATAAACAAAAATATAGGGTACACGTTATAGTGAAACCGTCCCCGTTAAACGACGGCATTTGTGCTACTGTATGTACGCATTTACAGACCGCTTATCAACCGCTTATACATCATTTCATCAACATCCTCGTCTCTCACTTCATTTTAATTTATTATTTTTAGTAAAAGGCGCTCTCGCTCCCACTCTCTCATCAATCCATTAAGCTGAGATTACTATAAAATAGGTAAAAAAGCCCTGTTTCACAAAATATCTCGCAAATATATAGATATATATATATATGTATATGTATATATTGTCACGGGTCTTCCTCCCACGCGTTTTATCCCCCCTGTCGCCGTTATCTCACGTGGTACGTTTTACTTTGTTTTGTCCTCCTCTCGCATACGAGCGTAAGTCGAAAACTGTCGATCCGTCAAGGAAATATGTGTTTCGCAGCGCGTCTATATCAGGAAAAGCAAAGCGCGCGTAAAAAGTGAGGAAAGACATATCCGATCAGACGCCCATAAAAGGCAGAACCAAAATGAAGTCGAGGAAGCTCCTCGGCTCACGTTGCAATCGAGTAAAAATAAAAAAAAGCGAGATCACACGCGAAAGGAAAACAAAAAAAAAGAGCACGACGCCGGCAAAGGACGACTATTATCTCGACGCGATTGTTTCGTTTAAATTAATTTACGATCTCAATTTGCACGGAGTTCTTTTTTTTTGGCAACGTGAGTAATAAAAGGATATGGGAAAGTTTAACTATTAAAGTTTTGCGTTTATATTGATCACTTGATGTACAAGGTGAGGCATCTGGAACGTTTACGAGATACATTCGTCGAAGGATAGAGTATTACAAGTCACTTCGTGTGGCCGCTATGTAAATTTTGTACTTCCTTCCTTCCGCTATGTGTGTCGAAAAATGTATACCAACGACGAAATATATAAACAATCCGTAATTAACGAGGAAGTTGTATTGCTACAATGAATAATGCGCTCGGCCGAAAATGTTGATCGATCGTATATCATTCAAGATTTGTGTAATCGCGCGATTAGCATGAATCACATAGAGTCCGGAATTGTGTGCAAGTAAAGTTCGATCATACAGCATCAAATTAATCAATTAAACTCCATTTGTATTTTGCTGCAAATTTTGGCAATCAATATTGATACATTTCTAATAGTCGTATATCTAGTACACGACTCTACAAAAAATAATTTTTTTTCGTTCCCAGCGATTTTTATTTTTAGTTGTTGATCGATCTCTATTGCATAAAACGGAGAGAAAATAGAAGAATTTCGATCGGGATAATTAACGTAAGTCAATCTCTTCTCGTTTCTTTTTCTTCAGCGAGCCACTTATTATCGCTTCGCCACTACATTAAAATTCTTCTAACAATTAAAAAATCTACGACAATTTTGCCTTTTTTTTACATTAGTTTGCGGTAATTTGCGGTGATTCGGCCGGGCACATTCGTTATTTGTATGTATTCCGAAAATTGCGCGTGTACATGTATCAACGTGTGTATGTCAGCCTCCGCGCCAATAAATACAATAATTAACAATTAAAATAAATAGAAGAAAAAGCAAATAGGTAATTATATCTCATTAAGCGATATAATTTGGTCTCTCCTTGGTGCGGTTTGTCATTCACATGTATATTCTTTGATCCTTTCTCTTCATTAATCTTTTCGATTAATTCTGCCTACTATTATTCCTCCCAACTCTCCAATTTATCCTTTCGTCTCCATGTCCGTCTGTCACTAAATGATTCGTTAAGTGTGTCGTCAGTAAACGGATAATTAGTCGATGTATGTAAGTCTATGCTTTGTGTATGTGTATACATATATCTATATGTATGTATATCTCAGCACGTGTACCACATGGTCGTAACGCTAATCAGAGACGACCGTCTGTCGCGTATCTATTGCTTGCTCGACTCGACGAAACTCCGCGTCTCACGAAGGGAGGGTAGATCCTCTGGAACACGTTCCTTTATCGCAAACATCGTAATACAAAAAAAGATATACATCGTCGAACAAAATCATCTCTCGCGCCTGTAATCTGTTTCATCTCGTAATCAGGCCGAGCGTGATAAGCACACGGCTTTGGAAGCCTACGGAGGTGCAAAAGCGACAAGTGATAATTTGTAGGACGAAGAGGGCTGCTTCTACCCTCGCCGTCGTACGCAGAGTTCGTGTATGGATCGTATCGTCGTTATATACACACAATCAACGCAATTAATCGAGTTACTTGTGCATTGCTCGGTACAACCGGAACAATACGATTGCTTCGCCAGCATCGGAATACGCTGCCGTTAAACTACCCTATCCGTTTGCCCGCTCGTCTTCCGTTTACGAAATCACCACCTTACAGCCACCGGTGCATCATCGGTTTGCTCTTTCTTTTTTTTTTCTTTTTTTCTTTTTTCTTTTTTTATGGGTTCGGTTTAAGAATATTATACGTATCTCGAAAACAAAGAAAAACTGAATGGTTTAAAATTTTTCGCAATCATCGAATAACAAAATCAATATCAATATATCAATATATAACTTTTACAATTATTAGGTATAATAAAAAAAGAATACAATAATTTTATAATACACAAATATGTAATTTTTTTGCCACAAAATAATTAAATTATAATAATCAAAAAATATAATAATTCAATAATTAATTATAATCAATAAATAATCATAATTTACATTAATCTATATATTTGTATATATATGTATAATGACATACATTTTTCTCGTGGCATTTTACACTTGTGGTTTTCTCTGAACAAAATTATTTAAACAGAAAGATCTCAAACCGAGTTTGGAATGTCAACGTTGACAATCATGGACAAAGCGATCAAAAGAACTTACTCTTATTTATTCTTGTATACTTGGAGGACTTTGATGATAAGAGATAATGTGAGGAATAACGTATAAATTATTAATTAAATAGTCTGCAAGGCTTGTTTCAAGCAGTTAAATAATAGCAGGCATCGCCGTGACTGTTTGAAGGTGGATCTTTTTTTTCTCTCTTTTTTTTTGGCACAATCGCGATGGATGGGAAAGTTTAGCGGCGGCTAACACATTTCTTTTGCATTCGGAATTGAATAATAATACGCAATATGCGTCCCGCACAAATATAGTAAAATAATTATCAATGCAGTGTAATTATTAATAATATAATAATATATATAATATAATCCATAATTATATAAGATTGCGTTTAGGGTGTGCGTGTATGCTTCATTTCTTTAACATATATATGTATATACACGCAATATATATTGTATGTATATATATACATATTGTATGTATAATATATACATATAAATATTTTACAAGTATGGAGTGGTGTGTAATAGAGGGAAGGGAGAGGGGGCTAAGAAGACTAAATTAAAAATGGCGCTAACTAAATTCTCTACCGAGGTCCTTTACAGATACGTACGCAATATCTGTCGCACATTGACCCGATCCCGAAACCCATTGTTCCGTAGCGAAAGTATAGGAATAATGTACATTTCGCACGCATATGCTAACGGATTTATTTTCTTTCTCCACGCATCGCTTTACCTCGTTTTCGCATAATCTCACTCATTAAAAAACATCTCAAAAGAATGTGATAACAATATTATTTGCAACATAAATGTTATATATAAATAGTAACATCGTTACTGTTACTATTACATTATTATCATTACAGCAATTATAATTATTATTACTGATTATAACTGTCATTATATCGCCAATAATATCTCATCAATGTTAACAATAACAGTAACGATAGAGCTTAATAGTTATAGCAAAAATCGCGCAATGCAACTCCGCGTATCATTCATTCTACTCAATAAAAAGAATAAAAATAGCAAAGAAAAAATGAAAAGAAAATTAGAAAAGAACCAGAAAGAAGCACTTTCTGGTCAAAGCTAAGCATTGCTTATCCAGCGCACTACGGAGCAACAGCACCCTTCACTTATCTTTGGAAATTATGCAGGAACATAGATCAGCTCGAAATCATCGAAAAGAATGTTTATTTAAAAAGAAAATCTATAAATAAATGGATATAATTTTCCGTTCGTCACATAGCGAGCGCGTAAACTCATCCTTTTCGTGGAATTGTAATAAATATTCTCTTTCGGTTTTTTGATATTCCTTTCTCGATAAACTCCGCGAATGTATGATTTAGGATTTTTATCAAATTTATGTTTCCGTGTTCGTTTCGGACAGTTGGCTTGGCGGGAAAATGGGCCTGATATATGTATCTGCTATAAATATGTGTCTCGAAAATATCAAAGCTCCTTAATAGATTCTTTTTTATTATTATTTTTATTTCTCTTCTCTTTTTTTATCCTTTAGCACTCGCGAAATATAAAATTGTATCCCGTGAACCATTGGACCGCGCTTAGTAACTATGGGCCGTCGTCGTCCCGCCAACCCGTCTGCTTTCATTTACGTCTTTATTTTTTTTCTTGAGTTGCTAGCTGCGTTGCTAACTACATCAACGTGATTTTATCGTAAGAATTGTACAAATGACAATTGGTCCTACTTTTTCGGGCAATGCTGTTAATCATTCTCCGATCTAAGGGGACTTGATGCCCCATTCAATTTGTGGGAGAATTAAATTCGAATCAGATATGTTAGACTACGCTATCGCGTTTCCATCGATCTTGAATCTTGATAAAGGTTCGGTCGATTTGTGTGTCTGTATCAGTGTTCTATCGATTTTGTGAATAAAAAATCGATTCATCACAAACTCGGCGATTTATCGAGAAAAGTAAACTCGCGCAGCTATACTATATTATAATTTTTATTATATATATA